GTCGGAATCGCACAATCGACTCTGCTTTATGCAGAGATTTCTATTATTTCTTTATTTTGATGAATACCAAGTGTCATCACTGATTATAAGTAATCGATTCGTATAATTTTCATCACTATGTTGCCCTTTACGCCCCATGGAATCTGTTTTGGCAGTTGATCAAGACTTATTTTCTGGTGTTGATGTTTTGAATTATACAGACCTAATCTGTTCCAGAATCTCCATCAGGGAATCATCAAGATTATTGAGAAAATGCAAGGTACTGTAACCTTTGACAATACAGTGAAGTTTACATCTTTTACCATGGTATTATGGTCTATTCATTACACTCGTTCATTTTGGTTCAATTCAAATGATACTAAAAATAGCTGACCAAGCGAATAAAACGCTTGTGCAAGAGAAATTATGTGAGACAGAGAAAGTGACGTCCGAGATGATGTGATGGTAGCGAAGTATGTGACGTCCGAGATGATGTGATTGTAGTGAAGTATGTGACGTCCCAGATGATGTGATGGTAGTGAAGTATGTGACGTACCAGATGATGTGATGGTAGTGAAGTATCTGACGTCCCAGATGATGTGATGGTAGTGAAGTATGTGATGTCCCAGATGATGTGATGGTAGCGGAGTATGTGATGTCCCGGATGAGGTGATGGTAGCGAAGTATGTGACGTCCCAGATGATGTGATGGTAGCAGATTGGTCCCTTGTACTTATATCAGTAGAATGTAGCTATATGCTGTACACTGGACAACCCAGGATGAAGCAAGGAAACATAACTTCCAGACTGCACATGATTAGGTATGAAATATGTACCATGAGGTTTATCAATTTGGATCTATTTATCCAGATATCACCAACACTCATCAAGATGTTTTTACCCAGTGTTCTTACTCACCTTAGTCCCGTGTGTGTGGTGGATGTACTGAAAGATAGTGCAAGTCAAACATTTGGTACTCATTTTATCTGCACTGTGTAAATATCCCTATGATGTTGGGTAAGGTTGTTACAAGGAGCTGGTGTACAGCTAGCGGCAGACACCAGGCTCCATGTGATAGGGTTGTACAACCAGAAAGAGTAAACACTTGCAGGTCTACATCTTGCGTTCCCATCTCTTCCCACTACAATGCAACATTCTCAGTAACAATGTAAGAAAACATCCAGTGGCAAATTACCAATTTCAGAATATTTTGTGTTATGAAAATAACTGATAACTAACAGAAAATGTCCAGTGGACATCAAGTTTCTGTATCAGTAGAACCACGTGTTCCCCAGCACTGGGAATTGTGTACTTGATATGTTCTAGGCATCATTTGTTGAGGTCAACATACAGACTGTTCCTACAGACTGATGTGAACAACTTCAGAACTGTTTCAAAAAGTCCCGGAATAGCCAATGTACTCCTGTTCCTTGGGGACTGGTGCCAATATCTGGTACTACATGTAGCAGGTATTTAACAATCAAGTCAAGTCAAGTCTTAGAGTGACCTAACAAAGTATGTCATGTTTAACAGGTGTCCTGTCTGGACATATCCCCCGGCTGCACAATGAGATTGACACTTGACAAGATACACCACAGACATCTCCCAGCTCCATCAAGTACCAGCTGTGTGGATCTTCTCTGAAAATTCTAATGTGGATAAATTCTTCTTCTTTTTTAAATCTTGCTGTTTAAAAATGCTTTATATGAATGCTGAGTTATTGTTCATAATACTATGAACAATTTCAAAGTGCTTTTGTCATATTGTTGTCATACAGAAATGCTTGGGTATTTCACAGAATACACCTTCATAAGTCAAGCAGTTTCTGAGTAAAAGAATTTTACAGAAACAAGGATGCATCTTGAAAGAGTTATAGATCATGGCCAATGTGATGAGAGTAAAAATATCAAGAGAAAAGACCTGAACATATGTGTTGAGGCCATCTACTAACTACAATATACATTTCATTACATTTTGAAAACAAATGTCTAAAAATGGCCATAAACATGTTTCTTAATACAGTTTGCCATAATGGAACTAAACCTCTTGAACAAACTAAGGTGTCATCATTTGAAGGAAAAGCATGTCTAGTTTCATCCTTATTGGTCCAGCGCTTTGTGGCAAGATGCTCACACCAACAATGCTGATGTTGATGTTGATGTTGATGTTGAGACTGACGCTGACAGACAGCCAGTGACACTGGACTTTACTCAGGTTAGGTAACAGTACACACTAGAGTGAGTGAGTGAGTATGGTTTTACACCGCTTTTAGCAATATTCCAGCAATATCAAGGCGGGGGACACCAGAAATGGGTTCCACACATTGTACCCACATCGGGAACCTGGGTCTTCAGCGTGATGAGCGAACGCTTTAACCACTAGACTACCCGACCGCCCTGTACACACTAGGGACATCTATGAGAGGAAATAGAGTATTTGAACACACACAGTATCACGCACGGTGAAAGTTGGTAATGTGTCAGCCATCACTTCCTCTCAAAGGGAACGTAATGTAAGACCAAACATAATGTAAGACCAAACGTAATGTAAGACATGAAAGCATTGTAAGACATTGATACTGACAGCAGAAAATCATGCACATGAAACATTTTATAACCTGTTGTAAAAGCATGTGTTCTTGTGCATGCAACTCAACACTTCAATAACTGCCATTTTACTCAAGACTGCAAATTAATTAACAATGCTTGTCAACTTGAACAGCCTATTTCTTTCTCTCGGCTGCACACTGTGAGTTCAGAAAACAACAGATTGCACGAGATTGGTTCACTGGAACAAGTTTGCATGTTGTCAAGTTCAATTCTTGAATCTGAATCTCCAAACTATTTGCAAGCACTGCATTATCCTAATTTAAGCTAAAACTGGTGTCTGGTGCTGCTGCCTGTGATTTAAACTGTATCAGGACAATGCCCTGATCATCAGTACATCACAATAAACAGCCATCACAGGCAAATCAGGAACCGACCATTTTATACGGGAACTTGCCAAAAAGAATAATGCATGGCACTGTAGTTCACCTGTTTATGTAGTCTACAGTTACAATTTCAACAAAGATCGCCACTTAACAAAAGTTGCAGTCAGCATTGATGTCAAAGTGTTTTGTACAGCAAATTCTAATGATTTAAACACAATGTTATCTTAAGGAGAAACACACATACCAATGTTCAGCTCCCCTATTTTAGAAAAGAAGTTTACACAGCAAAATATGTATTTTGAGAGAATACAAAAGGATGGTAATGAAAGGTCAAAATCTTAAACTAGTGCAAAAAATGGAAGATTCGTGTTAAATCCCATACTCAACTAAACAAATATCAATTTTCAATACTTTTTGTACACGCATGGACAAAAATAGATTTTTCAACATGGCTGCCCTGGCAGTTCATTTGAACCTCTTGAACAATACAGGTGACATCATTGGGAAGAACAAATAAGTGAAGTCTTAGCTGCACTTGTCAATTTGTTTGTGAGGAGATAATGTTAATAGAGCGAGGAAATGCATTTTGAGAGAATCTAGGGCCATGGTCAAAGTGTATTGGTCAAATAAAGATCAAAGGAACATCTGTGTTGAGACCCACTTTTAACTGGACAAATACCAAGTTTCATTACACGTTGAACGAAAAGGGATGAGTACTAGCCATAAGAAATTCCATCTTTCAGTATGGTCAAAGGACAAAGGTCAAATCAAGGTAAATATTTAAAATATCAGAATATATATGTTGAACCCAAATACAAACTACACATTTACCAAATGTCATTTCAATTTAAAAAACTAACTACTGAGTAATGGCCATAAACCTGTTTTTCAAAATGGTTGTCATGGCAACTATGTAGAAAATCAGATTTGAACTTCTTGAACAAATTGGGGTGCCATCATTGGTGGGAACATGTATGTGATACTTTATGACCTCTAACATTTCTCAACTGTCTGACCTGTCCAAATTTATGTCTTCTTTATGTCACAAAAAAATATTGCCACATATGTCTTCAATTCCCCAAAGAAGATCAGTTGTGTGGACATATTCTTTTCAGACACTGAACATACACCTCTTTACTGAACTAAACCTCTGACTGTCGTGGGATCTCCGAGGATGTTAATTGCACGTTACATGTTGGTTAATCGAGGTCGTGACTGATCTATAAAACATGAGTTTAAACAATTCACCAGCAAACTGATTCAGTCACTGTACATCCCTGTCATGCTATGTTCTGTTGCTTCATCAGCTGACTTTGAACAGCTGTAGGAAATAGATACAGATTCTAGAACTATTTCATTTCATGAATATGTATATCAAAATGTTTCTTGTATTTATTAGTGTTATAAATTATTTGTGAAATCCTCAATGACCTGAACAATGATTCTCTTGCAATATACTCACAACAAAATACATGGAATGAAGATTTCATTGGGAAGACATCAATAGGGAAAACGTCCATGTATCTGTACTCTACATCAATAGTACAACTACTGCATGTTTCTATCCATCTGTACTCAACATCAATAGCAGAATACTGTCAATTACTGCAAGTTTTCATACATCTGTACTCCACATCAATAGCAGAAAACAGTCAACTACTGCAAGTTTCCATACATCTGTATTCGACATCAATAGCAGAATACAGTCAACTACTGCAAGTTTCAATACATCTGTACTCCACATCAATAGCAGAATACAGTCAACTACTGCAAGTTTCCATACATCTGTACTCCACATCAATAGCAGAATACAGTCAACTACTGCAAGTCTCCATACATCTGTACTCCACATCAATAGCAGAATACAGTCAACTTCCACAAGTTTCCATACATCTGTACACCACGTCAATAGCAGAATACAGTCAACTACTGCAAGTTTCCATACATCTCTACTCCACATCAATAGCAGAATACAGTCAATTACTGCAAGTTTCCATACATCTGCACTCCACCTCAATAGCAGAATACAGTCAACTACTGCAAGTCTCCATACATCTGCACCTGTAAAGTGGATGCATTACATCACCTACCTGTTTCCCAGTGATGTCCCCCTTGACCTGCGATGTCGTTACATCTGAGCAGCAGTAGGAACACAAGGGAGAATCCAAAATGGCCGCTGATTATCCCGTATTCCATTTCCTGCGAACTTTAGTATCCAGTATCCACACTCATGCTACTGGTGCTACATCTACCACTGAATTCTTGATCTGTAAAAAGAATACAATACTTTAACTCATGTGTCCATACATGGCAATTGGGCACTAGCAATTGCACACAAAAATTAAATAAATGCAGCAACCAATAACTCCCCAAGGAAATCTGGTCTGCAATAGAAGCATCAAAAGGCAGTTTATTGTCTCCTCAGACATTCAAAAATACTGTCATGCGTCAAATTAGTCAGATGCTCAACAATTTTGAGCCATTGTTGGTCTCAAGGGATGATATAAGATTTTTGTCTGCAAATATATTTTCATTTCTTGAAGCAAGACATGATATCTCCCACAAATGATGATGATGGTATTGGTTGTGTGTGAGTGAGTTGCTGCAATTTAAACCCTCTGGGGTCACAGTTGTGGTTCACAGTTGTGGTTCACAGTAAATTTAAGAAAATTGCTCTCCTAGCAGTTCAGAGCTATCTACTTGACAAAGGAAACTGTGAATGTTAAAATTGTATGACTTTCATAAATACTGTTTAAGGTCACACTGACGACTGCAATGGATGTTTGTGTCTGTCCATGCATAAAATTTCTTATATGTCATCCCTTTTTATTCAATTCAGCAACATCAGCACTTTCAGGATGTTTATATTCCAACTCAGGTACACCATACAACTTCAGTCTAGTTTTGACAGAAATATGAGCTTGACTAGTCCAGTCTAGACAGATTACATTGTGGTTGGTATTAACAGACCCAGTTCAAGTTTTCTCAACCAAAAGGTAATGAAAGCTATTTTTGCTGTTATTATTAATAACATATTTCAGATATATAGATGACAGACAATAAAACTCTCTCCATGTTTCACTGGAGTTTCTAAGTCTTTCTGAAGTGATAACAGGGACTTTCCATATTTAAGCCCTGGGCCTAATTACGGAAAATAGCACTTTCTCATTTAAACTATTTTTATTATCCGAAATTAAGCACAGTTCTCAATTTCGGAAGCTTACTCTTTCTTACCTAAATATAGTGGACAATTTTTGCAGTTGACAAGTTGTTTTAACTGAGAAAATATAGTACAAGGATTTTACATTTGGACAGGAAGTAACTTCATAGACTGATAAACTTGCACTTCTTGTTGAATGTACCAGTACATAAGATTTGCCATGCATAGTGCATCGCCAAGTATTCACTTTCGAAGGAGGTAAGGTATCAATTTAACTCTTTCAATACCAGTCAACCAGAAGCGTTTACTGCTGTGACAGGGGCGGTCGGGTAGCCTAGTGGTTAAAGCGTTAGCTCGTCACGCCGAAGATTCCCGGGTTCGATTCCCAACATGGGTACAATGTGTGAAGCCCATTTCTGGTGTCCCCCGCTGTGATATTGCCGGAATATTGCTAAAAGCGGCGTAAAACCATACTCACTCACTCACTACTGCTGTGACACCGAGTTCCCAGAGACTTTTGTGTGATACATGAAGCCAACATTTATCAAAGAAAATATCTACTTGTAAAACATCTTAGCTACTGTACATGTTATACGCCATGTGAAAGGTCTAATCCTATTGTTTATAAATATGAAAGTTATGTTTATAACATTATTTAAATAATGCATTTACAACTTAATTAAGTTCATTGTAAATGAAAAATGTAAGCTCAAACATTCATAACATCCAGATTAAGGACCAAGAAAGCGAAAATTTGACAACTTTCGGCAAATATAAGATTTAATCAAATCCACTTACTTATTTCTTTTTTATTTTCATTGTTTAAGTTATTGGAAATTTATTTTTAAAAAAATCATAAATAGTATCTGCCATCACCCATTTCCCAATAACAGCGGCTGTCCACTCAGTAACATGAAGAAATACCTCCATTTTCAAAGCTTCTTATGAATAACATGTTCATCGAAGACTGTACGTCACATGACACATCGCTAGAAAGCTTGTTCTTTCATCTACACGGTCTTAACATTGACTGGAGTCTTTTCGCAGCTGCAACATGTTATTTTATTGGATAAAAATTGGTTTCTAATGACATTTTCTTGCCGAAATCTGCTACAAGGTTTGTGATTGGTCAAATTTGAGCATGTAACCTAAAGCAGCCAATCAAATTACAGCTGAGGTACTGTCCTGTATGATGATTTTCACATTTTGATGAGAGAACTTGGTTAAATCGTGTTATTTCTAACATTTATAAGCAGGAAATTGCGATGTTTCATGAATATACATGTATTTGGGCCCAAAGCATCGTGCCCAAAGCTGAGAAATCAAGGTGACAAAAGCTGAGATGTCATTTGACTTACATTACACACGATTGCATGAAAAGATGGAAATAATAACTTAGATGTAAGTTTGACAACTTTTAGATATATCCAAAATTAATATCCAAATTTAAGCCAATGGGCCTAAATATGGAAATATTTTCCATTTTTAATCCCATGAGAGTAATTCTGCGTGGGCCTAAATATGGGAAGTCCCGGGATGTATAAACGATCACATGTGCAGCATGGATCACAGGAAGTGAAGTGTTTGATGAAGTGTTTGATGAAGTGTTAGAAGCTTGTAGCACAGGATACATAAAGACATGAAACTTTGTGAGGAACTTTACAGTGGATCCTGTGGCTACTCCTTGCCTCATCAGATGGATGAATGTTTCATGTTATCACAGGAAAGTCAACAAAACTTCACCACAACCCATTAACGTTCTTTCAGGACTCATGTTGTCATTTCATGGATCACAACACTTTATGGGTGAACCATGTCATAATCTACAGCCCGTGCTGACTTTCTGTGTTGCAGATTCAAGAGATGCAAAATGCATTTGGGGTATTTGGACAGAGAATTTACCATATTAGGCAACCAGCAGTGTGTGAGTGAGTGTTGTTTTGCGCCCGAATGAGCATTATGTCAGGTTATGAATGGTCGTCATCCACATCATCGGAGGGAGATGAGGCATAATCAGTCAGATCACACATTGTAGTCACCAAGTCCTATTTACGTGGCTCCTTCAACAAGTGCAAGTTTTGTGCGGAGTACTTGGGTCCAATTTTGCCCAGGATAGCCCGCCCAGTACAGGGATGGACTTTGTTATTACAGTATTTAGTGTGTGTGTGTGTGTGTGTGTGTGTGCGTGTGCGCGCGCGCGCCCGCGCCTATTTTTCTTCAGACACCTTACATGATAACTGCACCCTAAGTCCCTGAATGACTTGGCCATTATACGAGGACTAACACTTTTCAAAATCCTGGATCTGCTTCCATTGACTGTCATAAGCATATATTATATACAGTGTCTTCATAATCTGTTCCAAATTCAAAGTGGGAACCCAGGCACTCATAGACAATGACATATGTGCTACAGAGGATATCTCGGGGGGATTTTTACCTCACTCGAACCTCCCAAGGGAAGTAACTGGATGTCTCTGGCAAGAAGCAAGGGAAACATTGTCTGCAACAATACAAGACAGATGTCTCTCTTGAGAGTTCATCGATATTTTTTGCATTTAATGAAATGAGACAAATCTATCAATACAACCACCTCCTCTTTCATAGAGATCACAGTAGGTATATCTTTGATTTCTTTGAGGTGGGAAGTATTAATATCTTGTTTCAGCCTTACAATGATGAGTTAGTAGGTTCCAACTGTATTTAGGGGTCATGGGTAACCTAGTCATCTAAGGCACCGAGCAGAGTTGCTCCAGAAACCTATGATTGTGGTTTTGAATCCTGGTTCATCGCGATTATGTTTCTAGGTTTGTCAGCACGATACCCGTGCTCCTGGGTTTCACCAAAATGGTAAACGTCTGAGACCTGCATCACTTCGGGCTTTCCTCCCACATCAAGCAGACACGCCGTGATATAACTGGAATACTGTTCAAAGCAGCTTTAAAACCAACTTACTCACTCCGCCTGCATTTCAGTCCGAACACAGCAAATCTGGTTACATGGAAGGAAGGTGACATAGGTCCCACATATTCACCACCTTGTTAACTGGTATGCAATGACGACGTGATTAATTTGGGATTCAAACCTGTGATCAACAGACTCTGTCTACCGGGCCTGTGGTCCCTCCTCCCAGTTTTAGCCATACCAACACATCAAGGTTTTGCACAGAAGCCAAAGAGATAACCACATGTTCATATTACAACAGCTCCAACTGGTAACTCTCGGTAGTTACTGCCGAGCTGTGGGAGAGTGACAAGGTTTGGGATGAGAGACGAGGCAATCAGCCATGACTACCTCCCCGAATACACATGGGAGAAATTATGACTGAGGGTTTCTGGCAATGTACACAGATCCAGGTCCGTGGTTATACCTCCACTCACACCCAGGGGATACCTCCACTCACACCCAGGGGATACCTCCACTCACACCCAGAGGATACCTCCACTCACACCCAGGGGATACCTCCACTCACACCCAGGGGATACCTCCACTCACACCCAGGGGATACCTCCGCTCACACCCAGGGGATACCTCCACTCACACCCAGGGGATACCTCCACTCACACCCAGGCGATACCTCCACTCACCCCCAGGGGATACCTCCACTCACACCCAGGGGATACCTCCACTCACACCCAGGGGATACCTCCACTCACACCCAGGGGATACCTCCACTCACACCCAGGGGATACCTCCGCTCACACCCAGGGGATACCTCCGCTCACACCCAGGGGATACCTCCACTCACACCCAGGTTATACCTCCACTCACACCCAGGGGATACCTCCACTCACACCCAGGTTATACCTCCACTCACACCCAGGGGATACCTCCACTCACACCCAGGGGATACCTCCACTCACACCCAGGGGATACCTCCACTCACACCCAGGGGATACCTTGGTACTAGGTATTGTGAAACACATACAAGGATAAGTGAGTGAGTGAGTATGGTTTTATGCCGCTTTTAGCAATATTCAAGCAATATCACGGCAGGGGACACCAGAAATGGGCTTCACACATTGTACCCATGTCGGGAATCGAACCCGGGTCTTCGGCGTGACGAGCTAACGCTTTAACCACTAGGCTACCCGACCGCCCCTACAAGGA